TTGTTTTGTTTGCGCACGCAATTTGCGTATGGAGCGAGTATAGTCTACTATTATTATCGCGAGTAATAATAGCGATACAGCTGAACTGCAGCTGTTCGTCGATGTACGGAAACGCGTATTCTGAAATGTAAATGTCGCAATGCAATTCTCGTAAATTGAATGTGGAAATCGTATTCGCCGAGCATACCGTAAAAGGCTGCTTATGTATCAATTAAAATGCCACGTGTGCCCACAGGGATTACGCGCGCGAAATAGTCATCCATAAATTCTCAAAATTTTCGAATGCCAAATCGATCATCCGTATACCCGTTAAATACGTGATTGATAACAACTGTCATTTTGATGCGAAATTCTAGTATATTTTGACTGACAAGCCGACACAGAAAAGCAAGTAATTAATTACGTGAAATGACAGCGGATAAATGAGAGTGAATAAGATTTTAAATAAAATTCGAAACACTATTTTATTCCTTCTATTGATTCTCCTGTGATTGCCTAAGAAATGTGCGTTTACATTTGAAATAATTATATTTTTCTCTAATGTACGCTCTTTTAAGTTCAGTTCTCTCATTTAGTTCAGCAGATCTAACAAATTCCCGTGTTATCAATGATAATTATTTTTGCGTAGCATAAATTGAGTGGCGTCCGCATAATTACCGTTATTTTGACAAATATGTGGTATGCATTGCAATTGTTATATTAATCTTTAATAACAGTGTGCTACTGCTAATTATTATTACTGAAAATTATTTGTTAGCTTTTCGAAAACTTTCTAAAAAAAATTCGGCTACATCTTTTGTAATAAAAATCAAGATATCGGAAATAAGTACATGACGCATCACGAGATAATGTAAGGGTCTCCGGTTTAGGTTTCTACGCGAGTGTTGTATGTGTGTACATGTACGTGTGCGACTATCGTCGTGTTCGTGCTGCAAAGGCCGATTTATTGATCACACGCGTCGCACGCAATACGACGAATATGCGTGCTTACTATATCGCAACCGCGTGCACGACGTCTGAAAAGTTCCATTCTATGATTTCATACGCCGTAGTTGTCTGGTATGAATGCGAGAGCAAAGAAACTCGTGTCAGTAATTGCAGTAATTATTAATAGCAACCAATATTATCGCAAAACAAAGAACCAATTAACAAATGCGAACGTTAATTACTAAACAGTTTTGTTGCAGCTTCGCAAACTTGAGAAGTAAAAAACTAACGACAATTAATTTTGTGTGGAAAATAAAATATTTCAATATCAATGTCACGAATTATTATTCAATATTTAAACGTACAAACAAACAGTATAAAAATCCCAAAAGTAAATATGATCAATATATTTATTTATGACATGGTAATATATATTCCAATGATTTTAGTTAATATTAGATATTTTTGCAAAAATAATATAATGATTTTAATACCATTGAATATATTATTATTTATATATACAGATAAATATACGATATACAATTTATTTATAATAAACAAGTGTATAAACATCTATCACATTTGCGTTAAGATTTTTATTTTGTTTTGTTTCTTTACGTTCAATTTAATTTGAAATAATAAATAATAAATAAGTTTATTGTAAACACTTTTATTGTTAAAAATAAAATATATAATTTAAGTGTAAAGATAACATTTTATTATAGAAAATGCATTTATATATATTCTATTGAAATATTTAAGTAATTTCTTTAATCACATTTCTAAAATTTGCACGACAGAAGTATTTTGCTAAGAATAACTAAAAACTTTATAATCTAGTAGAAGCGATAATAAATTCGTATAAAATGTACTAAAAAAGTGTAAAATATAAAAATTGTAGTGCTTCAAACTTGAATCTCAATTTTGACATGCTCTTACATTTGTATTTCTTAAAGGCTGGGCAACGAATAAGCAGTAAGAGACATAAGAGACGGTTAGGTATTTTGAAAGGTCGTGCTATACAGCATAAATAACATTCTAGCTTTCGATATTTTTCCGTGGAACTATGCAAAGTAATGCAGCATTGCGACTGCCGTTATTGAATTGCTCTAATATATATATCTTTCACTTGTGCGATTCAAAGTAACAGACTTATATTACTTTTGCAGAATAGAATATAACTTTTTGAAAAGTTTATTCTAATACGTATAACTATCAATATCAAACACAATACAGTATACGGCGAATTAATACTTCCATCAGACATTGATCCGTAAACATTAGTCCGCGACTAATGTTTACATCATTTTCTCAACTTCATTGCTGCGCAATAAATTTGGAGTTGGTATATGTAAAGAGCACATCATTTAAGAAACGTTTCAGCATAGCAACAAATTTTTTTATAATACCAGTAATACATGCAAAATTGCACAATGTATGACAAATTATACGAAACGTACATCTTCAAAATAATATACCGAAAATATCACAGAAACTTCGCTCGCGTTAATAATATATCCTCATAAAAAGTAAGAAAATTCATGTAAGAAGATTCCTGATTATTGTGTTTTATTTCGTAATTCCAATTTTTTCCTTTTAATATCTGTTATTAATATAGTTTATATTCATATTCGTGTTAAAAAGGAAAAACTTACAGCTTTTTTAACTTATTTAAGTAAGAAATCCAAAATTATAATATTTCGAGAGTAATTAATTTAAAGAGCGTTTTGACATCAAGATAATATTGTTAATTTATTATTTTTGGTCATTTTATTAAGCGATTATATTATTCAACGGCAGTGCATTCAGAGTTATTAAATATTTTTGACATTTGTTCAGAACATTTCAAAATAATGCAATATTGCAATAACAATTAAATTTATATATATTTACATTAATATTTCGTAATAAAAGAATTTAAAATTATTCTTATTTGAAGAAAAGTTAAGTTTAGTACGATGCAACCGTAGAGATGTTAGCAAAGTAAGTATGTCTTCGAAATAAGTAAATAAATAACCGATGTGAAAAGATAGATACTGAATGTCAAAGACAACCGTGGATAAAAGTCATGAAACCAGGAAATCACTGCAGGAAATTGCAACATTGCGTTTGGTAAACAGGATGATTATTCGGCGCATAAAAATCAATCGGACGAACGACAGCAGTAATGTAAAATTATGATGACAAGTCGAAAAAGTTTGCAACAGATGTAGCTATATTGTCAATGTTCAATACACGATTTATCACATCACTGATCATCAAATTACACAGATATATACTATCAAAATTGCAATAATGTTTGTGTTTGTCTCGGAAAAAACACGAAATTGCATATGCGTCATTTTTCATTAATCGATTACTCGATTAAGATCAGATATTTCTTCAACATCTTCTGATAAGATCGCAGAATTTTCTTAAATTAAGCTCTTCGTAGAATGTCCGATGTGTATTGCTTTCGGCATAATTAAAGAAATGTATAAAACGCCGTGTTGCGAATTCGCTAACGCGTTTCACCTTTATAATAATCTTCTTAATAACGATTATCGAAAATAATGTAACATGATCGCATATATTGAAGTAATGTAAGCCGAAATCTTACGAAAGTGGAAAATCCGTCTGGACACTAGTGCGTTTACGGCAATATAACTTTGCGAAAGACGAGAATTTCGCAACTAAAGCCACCGGCAATTACTTTCCAGCATTAAATAATGTTGCAAATGTCTTTAATGATCAATTACTTTGAATATTAAGTAACAAGATAAGCAAAGTGCTATGTTTTATCTCGTCCTTATATTGGTAAATCCATTACATGTGATGGAGAAGGAAAGAAAAGTACCTATGTCGCAAAATAAACTCTCGCAAATTTTATCCTGGATTTTATACAGGAATTTGATTCGAATTAAATAGAAATCGTACATGCCTCATGATTTTCCACTAACACCGGCAAATTCAAACAATTCAGATTAAAAAATTGCAGAAAGATATAATAAATTCATAAAATTCGATGTTCAAATGTGTGACATACTTGGTCTAACGCCAGTTTAATATGCCAATGCAATACATAACTCGGCAAAAACAATCGTTAATTTGCGATATCTGACGAAAATAAACTTACGGAAACCCTTGACCGCGCATTGACAGATTGCCAAACGGATAAATGTTTACTTGAACATTTGCTGAGCGCGTGAATCATCCAAAACCGACACCGCAGGTTTAAATAAAATCATTGTACGCTCTATCCGCATGGCATGTCCCTCGTCCGCGAGAACCTCGCTAAATGAGAACGAGAATCGCGGTGAATAAATAAGGAATCGTATCACTTCGCACCGAGTTCACCGTTCACCATCGCAAAACACGTAAGCTCAACTATAAAAGCGCGCACGTCGAACAACGAGCAGGACGGCGCAATTAATGGCGTGGGCCGTGGTCGATCGTGCAATTAACTTTAACGAACGGGCGGCCTTGCGATTAAACTTAATTAGTATCGCAGTAATAACTCGTTAATAATCAGAACCGTGTACATAATCGTGGCTCTGTGTCTGTGCACCGACGTGCACGTGCACGAGCGCGCATCGTACTGTTCTCCAAGCACGCAAGTGTCTTTTGTAAGACACGTGTATACATATATATGTGTATGTGTGTGTGTGTGTGTGTGTGTGTGTGTGTGTGTGTGTGTGTGTGTGTGTGTGTGTGTATGATGTTTGTGCGTGTTTATTGTACGTTTATAAGTGTGTGTAGGCGGATCTCATATTTACGTGACGACGACGATGACGAGCCGGGGAAAGCTACGACGCTACACAAATTTTGACGCTGGAAAAACGGAGTAATAACTGCAATGTCTCTTACAAGAGACGCTAACCTCGGAAGAAACAAGAAATGCCAACCTCACGAGAAAAGAAATCAAGAAACGCCAACTGACAGAAGCGCACATTTAATATCAATCAAAAAAATCAGAAATTATAAGAAAAGAAAAGAAAAAAGCGACACTAAATATATATAATTTTGCAATTTGCACATTTTTCCCTTCGATCTGCCGCGCACGAGTTTGTAAAATTAGCGTAGTTGATGATTACCTTCGTTCCAGTATCTTTGGTATCTCTGCAGTTCGTACTTTTTTCTGGTATCCAGTCGCACTAGGTGTTGGAAATAATAATGAAAGGAGAGTCCCTCCGTCCTGGTACGAGCGTCATGTGGAAATCGATTGGAGCAAAAGATGGAAATCTAGCGAATCGTGTGTAACGAAGAAAACAATTTGACAGACAACCGGCTGACAGGTAGAATGACTTTGGTGCGAAGCTGTCAATGAGGCACTGCGTTTCTTTTCATTTTCCTCCTCGTTGCGCGCCTCCGCTCAGCACCACTACTTCCGAAGTTTATCTCTCTCTCTCTCTCTCTCTCTCTCTCTCTCTCTCTGTCGTGCGCGGCGACACTCGACTCGTCCCCTCAGAAGCGCGACATATGAACCGCGTAGCCCGCGCGCGATGCTACGCGTGTGAAGATCAATGAATCGCTCTAAACACGCGTACGTCGCTCTCTCGTCGCGCAGTTACACGTAGAGCGAGAAAACTAACGGAACGGTCCAACCGCGGAGACGAGTAACATTTAAGTAAAAACGTGCACACTACCGTCCTTTTTTTCATTCGACGACGAATGTCACGAGTAAGGCGGATTGTAAAGCACGAACCTGATTGCGGGGCGGCCCGGCGAATTATGGCTCTCTTTACGCTTTCGGCGGCTGCTCCGTTCCCTCTACTGCTCATGCCCACCTCCTCATCACCCCTCGGTACACTTCTGTGCTCTCATATGATCCCCACTAGTCGAATCATCCCCACCAGTCGGGATTCCTACCAGTAGATATAGTAGATATCCCCCCACCAGGAGGACTCGAGGATGCGAGAGAGGAGGTAGAGATTCAGAACATTGCCACTTTACGGCGTAAGGATGTGATCGTTGAGGCGACGCGCGAGCATATTTTACGTCTTCCGGTTGCAAGATTTTAGCGCAAAAATCATTTTTGAAGCAAACATCCTCGTGCGTCGCGGAAACTGCCGCTCTCGTGATGCACGATGTTTCTATTTTTCCATGATAATTCTTTCGATTTATCACGTTTTCTGATAAATCTTCCGTGCCAAGATCACGCGTTTTCGAGGTAAAAAATTACAGTTTTTTTTAAATCATTATTAAAATTAGAAAAACTGATATTTATTAATAATGCATAACAATGCTAACATATAATTTATATTATATGGAACAAAAAAAATATCTGGAGAAAAATAGAATCTTGATGCACACTATCATAAACAAAATAGTTTTATTCAATTACGACGAGAAAATAGTAAATAACTAGAGAAAATAGAATTACGCGATTTCAAACAAAAATTAGATAATAAAAATATTGTATTACAGCTATAATATTTCTCCAATATTTCTCTCCGTATATACGATTAACTAAATTGATTCCTAGATTTAACGTTGTTACTTCTATAAATTTTTAATGGCAGCACGAATCTGTCTTTATTCCTGGAGCTACTAAAGCGCGGATCAGGAAGATATGGATATTATAGTGCTTACTCAGATATTTCTGTGCTAGATTCGAGATGACGAAAATACGTAACTTCTAAAGACACCTTTAATGTCAAAGTTTCGGAATAGAAAGTAATCGATACGCGCAACGGGAATATTTTCTCAGAATTAGCAATCACGTTCTTAAGACAGATTCATACATTGCAGACAGATGTATCATTCGCCACGATTTCTTTGCGGCGTTTTTTCTTTCATTTCAGTCGTACAGTAATATAACTTCTAAGAATTTTTATCAAAATTTAGAACGATATTAATCTGAATAGCGATATTATGTATGCACGTATATCACGTTTCATTAAACACAATCCTAATTAATTACATAGGCCAATAAAAAAAATTGTCATCAAGTAACTCCAGAGTAGATGTTTCTTATAAAGTTTTGGTCACAAAAAACAGTGTTCGTCAGATGGCTTCACGTCTGATTTTAAAGTTATTTTGAGTTTTAAGATGAGAAATCAGCGATTTAAAGAAAAAAATGTATAATTTTCTAATTATCAATAAATATCAATAAAATAATAAAAATAGGTAAATGTTTAATTTACAAGTTCCTCATTTTTCTTAGCAAAAGATAAAAAAATCGTTTTACAACTAGCAAAAATGTTTGATTATTAAGGATACGTAGAAAAGCAAACATTTTTTTCATATTTGAAAAGATTAGAGAAAATGAATTTCAATATATTATAAGTTCCGTTCTCTTCATAATAGAATCTTAAAATTTTATTTAAAAGAAATTAAAAAGTACAATTCTAAAATGATTGATAAAAGAAATTTTTCAGAATAAAAGAAGTTGTATTAAATTTTAATATAAAAAAAAGATTTTCTTTAAATTTTTCTTTAAACAAGTCACATTCACCTTTTAAGCTCAATTTACACATTTTATATAAAAAGTACAATTTGAATAAAATACAATAGGATAGAAAAGAGCAGTGTTCTCCGTTTGGCAGCATAACACCGAACTGAATACCTATTCCATATTTTTTTTTTTCTATATATAATATTCTGGTTTTGCATATATGTATATGTATACAGATCGTGTTTCGTCATGATTTCGTTGTTTCACGTTTCCTATATTTTTTACTATATTTGCATCTTACATGTTATTAACCTTATACACACAACTGTTAAAATATACCGTTACAACCACAATTAACTATCGAAATTGACCACCTACAATTGTAAAGTAATTTCGGTAGTCAATTACTTATAGTTTTAACACAATAGACTCACAATCAATGACAGTTAAAAATTCCATTAGTAGAAATATAACCGTAAAAAATTAGTTTTCAATCACGTTAGATATTTTTGGACAATATTTTTGATAACTGAAGAATATTTTCTGAAAAAAAGAAAAATTCTGAAGTTCGAATTTTAAACTATATTTTTTACGCTTATATTTCTACTAACAGAATTTTTACCTATCACTGATTATGAGTCTATTATGTTAGAATTTATAGCAATTAACTACCGAAATTGACCACAAGTAACTAGCCCAACTTTTTACAGAATGTATTCTTACCGTAAGAGTATATCATCCATGAGATAAAATGACAAAAAATGACAAGACACAAAATTTGCTAAGCAATTAACGTGTTAAGGAATATATATTTACCACCATACTTATCAAAATATTAAACGAAAAGAACTTGCTAGATTAATCGCAGAAATTCAATTCAAGTCAATATGAGCCTAAAGCTGGTCGTACGTGCATAATGCAATTATCTTTTTAGTTCTTATGTATATACATGTATATGTACAAACATGTGCATACATATACAGTCAGTCGCTACATGTATTTATCTTTTCTATTATTATGGATTTTTAATTAAAGCTAATTCATATTCGATACCTTCTTCCACCCTCAGTTTTCTGTTTGTAATACCTAAAAGCGTAGTTTTTATGAATCATGCAAAATATTTTTGATCTGCAAAAGGTATTCGCGAATTCCAATCAATCATGTGGAAGTAATTTTTTTTGTGTCTCTCGAACGTTTTACCATTGACATTGTTCTAGACAGGTAACGCCAACAGCACACTAAGCTTCAGTTCTCTCTGCTACCCTTAACGATATCATGCGATCGATATTCCGCGTTGAAGACACACCCGGAACGCAATTCGCGACTGCAAGTTTACCAAGAGGTGGTGACTAACCAGGGACATTCTCAGATATCGGCGTTATCGCTGAAGGTAACGGTAAGAGATTGTACAGAGGAAAGTTGCGCGCCCCGATGTACGGAAAAGTGCACTTATTTCATTTTCAACTCCTTCTATTTCAATTACTTCCTTTTCCCTCCGGTAGATGTCGGTATTTGCAATTTCGCACAATTGCAGAATTTGCAAAAGGTATAAGCCTGACGTTGCTCTAACGAATGTTGCAATCCTTTTTCGAGCAGAATTGATTTTTTTCTATTGTACGTCAATTAGCATCAGAATCTTCCTAAGGAATGATTCTGTTACTTATGCATAATAAAATTATTAAAAATGTTCAAATATTTTTAATTCATTCATCGTTTTCTTATCTCTTTTTTTTCATTGAAATTAATAATATTTTTATAATTTATATAAATTTGCCTTTCTCTTTTCATTTCTATTACACGGATTGCATTGCGGAATTTGCGGTACAGCTGACTGCATCATAAAATCTCACGATTCTTCTGTTATTATGTCATAATGGTGACACGATTGTGACAAGTGTACTATATTTTAATTGCGCGAGTGATATTTATTCGTTGGCTTTTTGCAAATTAACAGAGGTATTTGAGGGAATTTTTAACGTTTTCACAAACACCTTTTTCTTGTCGCGAGTATGAAAAGAATATTTGTAACAATTGATTTTTTAATAAACGACGTAATTAATATGATTGCGATAATAATATCGTTTTAAAATTATCTATTGGTATTCTGATATTCTGCAATAAAATTTTAATAAACAAAAGTGATTTACACCGAAATTAATTTAATTTGAAAATTATGCTTTATTGTCGTTTGAAAGCAACGTGATTGTTTGAAAAATGTAATAATCACAAGATAGAAAAATTAAAGATATGAAATATAAGAATATACCGTATTTGTACAATTTTAATGTAAAATTGAAATACATATTTTAACATTTTCTTGCAGAAATAATATAATAGAAATGTGGTATTGGAATAATTAATGATAAAGTTTATGTGATGTTAAATCGAGAAGAGGTAAAACGTTCACCTTTCGTCTCTAAATATTTGCTCCGCTAAGTCTCGCGAGCGACTTCTTGAGGTATACATATATGTATAACGTGAAGGCATACTTAACACACAAAATCAATTCGTTGCGTATATGTATAACGATCTGTCGCGGTCCTAATAAATACAACAAATACATAAATAATTATCCGAATGATAAGCATTCTATTCCACATTTAGCCATCGCATCGGGCATTCGTCTGCGAATGGCCTTATCTTCATTCAAATCGTCCTTCGATAATACCGCCTAGATTTTCTTTTACAAGCTATATCTTCTTCTATCATTCCATTCGATAAAAAGAACAGCTTGTTAAACGCTTAGTGATTCTTTAATATAATTGATTCTTATCTTTAGTTCCTCACTAGATTTAATTGTGAGTGTATAAATCATATCAAAAAATCATATTAAAAAATCATTAAGCGTTTACTAACAGCAAAACTATACTTTTTCTGTTGAACGCATTGCAGTCATTATTGCCCTTTATAATTCTCCTCTTCATAACACTGCAGCTTTTTTTAGAAATATTAAATTTATATCGAGTATGCAATCTCCTCTTTATTTTATTTTTGAAATAATCAGAATAGCGTGCACAGTTTATATAAAGCGCCGCGAGAGAGACGCGATAACGTGAGTTTTAGAATGAGGGCTTTAGAACGAAGAAATGTCGAATTGACAGGTAGCGCGATAGCTTCAGGGAAAACGGAGTCACGTATCCAATATCTGTTTTCTGAATAGAGTTGCCGGAAGCAACGATAACGAGTATATACATTAATCTAATTGAAAATTAATTAATTCTCTTCTTAGTTTCAATTTTCTCGCGAAAATAATTCTCAAGCATTTCTCAAGAATGCACTGTTTAGCGAAATGTCATTCGGAGTTAATATTGCTTCTGCTTGACGTCACTATTATTCATCGGCCAATTATAATTATTATTCATTGCAATTTTTTTCTAAAGCCCTTTAAATCCAGCAAGAATAAAGAGCTAACAGATTAATGAAAAATCATCCTGCCGCGACGTAATACCGTTAGTCGACACTGCGATAAATCGAATTTCATATTTGAATAATCAAGTATTGGAATATCGACAGGTATACATGACAATATGTGGATATTTTAAGAATGAAAAGCTCTCCAACTGTCTACCGCCAATTGTGTGACGAACAATGGCGGAATTATTATTCCGCATCTTCAAATAATTCAAATTATGAATTAACTCCAATATATTTTTGTTATGTCGTTCCTGCAATTATTATATATCTTATATTTATATATCTTAAAGGCCGCAATAATTGCGCCAGTCCAGTGAAACGTCAGCGAATGAAACTGTATGTCTCAATATCAATAAGTTTACTCAACGATATTCATACTTACGTAAAATATCGTTGGGTGGACTCACCGTTATGAGATAAAAGATTTAAAGTATCGCTAATGTAAAAGGCTATTTAACTTGAGCACTTTGTATATTATGTCTACAAACACCGGTCAAACGAAAGATACGAGGATGCCATTATCACAGACTGGGGTTTCAGCAATTTTTACAGTCGAATATCGTCCGTGCGAGCTTCAAATCCGAAACTGTCATCTTTCGGAGTCGCAGCCACGTGTCCCGTGTCTACCTCCGATTATCCAGTGTCGCGGCGCGAAGCCTCGGCTGCGCCAGCGCACGCGATCGATACCCAGACCGCCGGGGTTTTCGTCTGCCGCGTGACGTCATGGTGTGCGAGCCGAGCCAAGACGATAGGGGCCGTAGTCTACCGAGGGTAATCGAGGTGGTGCGAGTTGCGTTAAGAGCGGACTGTTGTTTCGACGTAGTGGACTGCTACTCGAACGTTCCGCGCGAAAAATTTTCCGACTGCTCGCGTGTCGCGTCCGCGGTGAACCGGTGAAACCCTCGTTCGCGCGCGAGAGTCTCCCGTTTAAGTTCCGATCGCGTTCACGTCGAGGCAACATCTGCGTGCGAAAGTGACAACTCCGTGTGGTCTGCTCCGATCTACTTTAGGGAAACGTCGAGGGACATTCACGTTCGCCGAAAGAGTCCCGTAAGTTTCAAAAACACAAAAAGAAACGTTACGGGAAAGCTAAAATTATACTCGGGGACGATTCGTTTGAAAATACCGGTGAGGGAAGAGTGGCGCGCAAGGTCGCAACGACCTCCGAAATTTAGCGGTCATCACATCGTGGAATTGGTCCAGATCCCCGTAGAAATAAGCGACCACGACGCTGACATACGCGTATCGTAGACCGTCGTGCCGCGATCGCGCAACCCCGTCTGACCATTTGCCGGCGCTTTTCACTGGCACACATGAGCGCGATGATTTCCCCGGTGCACGCAGTGGAGAGTGGACGGAAGTAGCGCGCCGCACTCGTCTGATCACAGGCAAGCTGCAACCCCTTCTTCGGGTCGCAGCCCAGCTGAGCTGCGACCGGGCGCGACCTACAGCCCTACATTCGCGGTCTGCGGCGTGACCTAACTTTACCTCACCCCACCTTAAGCGAGCACCGTCACCACCTTCTCTATTCTATGAACCATGACAGGATCTTACGCATCGGATTCTCCTCTTGGCCACGTATACTCTTACGCAAATTGATTAATAGCGTATCGGTAGCCTATTTTAGCTCATTTTTCTCCAATAATTTTATATTTTAAGAGCATTCATCTTATATATATATCGAGAAGATTTCTATAATAATATGTACCATTTTTCAAAAATAATTGTCAAAATTGTTTGTCCGTGCTTATAAATTTTTATTTAAATTTCGTAAATTTTCTTCAGGACAATTCGAGATAATTTGAATATACATATCCATACTTTTTTCCTTCTTTGTTTACAAATCATAAATATTTATAAGAAAGAAGCGTGTCCAATTTGATTATTGACGACGTAACGATCGGTAAAATTATTATTGTCTTATCGTGTATTCGGCGAATTACGTATCTGACCTTGGCAAAGAGAAATCAATCATTCACACATAACGACAGTCTAGAGACAACGCCTTCTCATGATGACGCCATTAATTAACGAACAAATAATTTGACGGCGTTAGGTCGATCTCGTTATCGTTGTAACGGTCGTCATGATGATAATGCCGCTGAATACGGAGAACTTTATGAGAACGTCTACTTTAATATGCACCCGAGAAACTATCGCTGCACGGAAAGAATGCACCTTCCGCGTTAACGGCTCAGTAAAACGTCATTTTTTTTCGATCGGTAATTGCAATTTTCCTCGACTTTTAGAGCTCCTCGTAAAATTGCATTTACACAATTACCGGGACGTTTTACGTCTCTCGGATGTAACAATTAATATCGCCTTCGCCGATACTTCGTACGTATAAATTTCGTTTAACCGCACAATAAGATAATTAACGAGATAATAAATGCACTCTTATTACGAATGATCGTTTCGCTTGAATAAATTCGAGGCGTCGTGGGTGATGTTTCCATTGTTGTTATACCACACGGAAATCGAATCGCGAGGTAAACAGAGTTTCGCAAGTAAATAGACCGGGCACAGAAGAAAGGGAGGTAAACTATCGAAGACTATCGTACAAAGAGTACACTGTGACACGATACGACGAAGAGAGCACGTGTCGCGCTCGTGAATAATATTTTTCGATTCGACAAAATTATCTACGTCATATGACATGCTATGTAATAACAATAAAATTGAATTTATTATAAACGAGAATTATAAAATGCCACAGTATCGGGCGATTTTTTATGAGTGTATATACAAATAACATTGGAGACAGATCATTGCGGAATATAGAATTCAATATATTACCAATTGTTAGCGATAATGCAGATTCGACGCACGTGCCACTAATCGCGAACAATCGAGGGAACACTCCATCAAGCGCGTTAAAGTATTATTTATGTGTTGTAGTCCTATTTAAATAATTGAATAATTTGTAGCTAAATTAATGGAATACCATCAATTTTCTGCTTGTTTAAACAACAATGACGAAATGAAACTAAATAATTTCTGTTAATAAGAGCCACGAACAATGAATAATTTCTCGACAAAGCTATAATTAGAAATAGGACACTGTTTAAATATGTAGTGTTTCGGATTATAAAATGTTAAGTAAAACTATATATTTGCAATAAAATTACGTATTTGCAAGAGAAATAAAAGATTGACTAAATTATGATATTACAAATGACTTGCATAATCATATATACATTATTATATGAAAATTACTAAATTATACTTTATTTGGAATATAAATTTATTTATCATATTTATTCTAAATGAGAAAAATTCTTGAATGAAAGAACATTATTTTTATAATTTATTTATTAAAAAGTGTTATTAAAACTAATTCCATTTTTTTCTGCAAATTCACGTTCGGCGCACTCGAAAAAAAATCAATTCCATTGGCTAAACATATATTCATTTAAAAAACAAAATGATAAGCACGTTTTATTCTACTGCATTATGCAATTACGTCGTAAATAATTATACATTGACATATTCAATTGTCTCGGAAATAATGATCAATAGTGTGACCATTGCACAATCTGCATTGTCATCAACAATGCAGATACATGCAATTTGCACTATCATTTAAAAAATGTGAGAAAAACAATGTCTAATTATAATTGCATGCGTTTACATATCTAACTCTTAAAATATCGAAATTGCATTTAAGGTAGTTTTCTCAGTTCGTCACATAAATTTATCAGTGATACAATATTTTAACGTTTCGTGCTATTTAAAATCGGACTAGCAAATAAACGCAAAAGAACAACATATTCTAATGATTGCAAACGGCATCAGTTATTCATATTTACTTGCTTAATCGACTTAATGCTTTACAATTCAGAAATATGTACTATATCTATTTCTGTCTAACACGAGCATAATCGGTATAATTTCAAAACTGTTTAAGTAAAACAAAAAGTTATGTTCATATTTAATTGAGGTGACGCGTGGCTATCTTTGGTACATAAATGGCAGATTTTATCTTGATCTTTTCATTACATGCATACTACAGTTTCTATAAGAAACTGATTAAAGAGGGAACAGTAAATTAACACATGGACACGTAATTAGTATTACGATATTTTATCATATTAATAAATTGTTCAGCCGCTTCTGTTATCAATAATTACCATCCGTTAGGCACATTAAATTAAATTATTATTCTATTAAATTAATACTGTATTCTTGATGTCTATATTAAACGAATCTTTAACTATTGAATATTGAACTCCATATTCGTTTTACTTATTTTTACGAAGTTTTTGCTCAATACATACATATCCAAACGTTCTCGATCAGATTTACGCTGGCTAGTTGTGATCGCGCTAGTCTGATATATTTCTGACGCCAATTTGATGCCATTTTCTTCTATCTATTGGATACAAAGCGACTTTGATGTTTTGAATCGTCCTACTGACAAACTCAATCTTAAATGTTTTCATCAAAATTATTTCCGATAGCAAATATTAAAATAATTTATTTATAAATTTTTATCATTTCTTCTATTGCATTATCAAAATTACATTTTATAATTCAAATATATCAGTAAATACGGATATCAAGCCTTATTTTAAGAAGTAACCTCAAATGTACACTTTTGCTGAATGTTTAACAATCACTGTTGATAAGAGTATACCAATATTAATCGATAACAGTTTGTGCCCAAAAGGAAACTTTATCGAAAAACATAAAATATTACCTTAGTCATTGATATTTGCATATGTCCATGTTCTTTTTTTGATATATATTGATGTATTTTTCATATAAGACAATTTTTTATTATATGCTACAAAATATAAAGTTGTAAGCATGTAGATGATTTAAAATACTTTTATTAAATATTTCAAAAAATTTTCCAGATTTTCTATAACAGTGTTGTAAGAGAAAAGTATTTTTGATTTGAGAGTTCCCAATATAATAGTTTCCAAACAAATATCCATTCAAATATGCTCTTGTTAGACAGTCTGTGATAAATCATATAGCAATTTGAACGTAAAGGATTAAAGTGTCTAAAGGCCTTATTAAAGCTACATAAAATTTTGTTATTCTTGTTAGTTTGCAGATAGTGATTTTATCAACTCTACCACACATCCTACATCGCCAAAATCAGTTGACAACACAGGCATCACCACGTTTCACGTGGTGACAACATTAAAATACGGAGATACGTATAACTCGCAAAATCGCGAATCACAAGCGCACCACGGGCGAGGAAAAACTAGATAGTGCTAAATACGGATCAGGTCGTACGAACTCAAAAAAAGATAACCTTTGATTGTGATGTGGAGGAGCCCCCCGGCGGGCCGAGGGAGCAGGAGGTCAGAGGCACATCGGTCGTGAAGGCAACAAGCACGGCTCGGCGAAAGTCCCGGGGCGAAATAGGGGCTGGAGGTAGGGCGGAGGAGGAGGTAAGATGGTGTGACCTCCGGCGTCATCCCGCCCGACGCGGAGGTGGTGCTGGAGGTGGCGGAGTCGAGCAGCTGCTCGACTCAGAGGAGGAAGAGCCAACGGCGATGTCGAGGCAGCTTCGTGGGGACCGGGACCACGTGAGCCGCGACTACCAAGAGGGTTACCACAATGGTTTTCGGGACTTGCGCGATCTCCGAGATTTCAGGGACTTCCATCGAGACACCCTCGACGAAAGGAACGGTCAGGGACCCGCCGCTCGAACATATCGGGACGACTATCCGGAAGAATATGACCATCGTCCTACCGCTGCATCCACCTCGGCGAATCATACCAACAATCCGGTGAGTTGCAACTACTTTTTATGGCGCAGTAAATCAGTTGCTCACAGTCAATAAAGTATGTTAGCATACAGCGAATGAAAATAGATATTATAATAGTATACGATACACCGAATAAAAATGGACGTCTTTTTAAATCGTGATTTTGTTTATAACGAAATGTTTACATGCATACGTATGCCTAATATATATGTATTTTAAAACTTTAAGAGGAAGTTGCTCTATATCAATAGTGAAATTACGTAAATTATTGAACATAGAAGGAAGATATTAATACACATTAGATTCTTATATTTTAGGTATCAATATACACTCTTAATTAAAAGTCTTTTTTACAAATCTTTTACCAACAAAAGGTTTTTTTATATATTTGACTCTTACATTTTAATAACTCAATTATTGAAATATCTTTAGAACATATTTTAAATAATTGTAACTTCTGGATAAAAGAAATAATAAGGCTTTCTTAATATATGCGTTAAGTCGTAACTGTTCAGCTATATAATTTTACTGATTTACTTGCAAAATCAAGGCGCAAGTAATCTTATAATATTAAGTTAAGCAATTAAATATTATGCAGAATAACTTGCATAAAGTAAACAACGTAAGTTCAAGATAATTATAACTTTAAAACGCGCGCGCCTTGTCACCTGCAAAATAGAGCATTGCGCAGCGTGATAACGGCTGTTTCCACTCTTTCTCGACGGCATTATATCTTGCACCGTTGTGCAAGGAGAGCGCGATCGTTTCTATTAAAAACTTGCTCCCGCGAGCCCGCTTAAAACTCGAACAGCTATTTGTATAGTGTTACCCTCCCCTTTCGCTCATGTTGCTATGAACGAGTAATAGTTGCAAACTTGGTCCATCAGCAAGAGTTTCAAATCCTATCGAAATTTATATCGTAAGCAGTTTCCCTCTTGCATATTATTGGTTTCTCTGCGCGATAATATACATTAACTCTCTCCCTCTCTCGTTTTACTAACATCTATTTAACAGTGCAGCGTAAAGAATTTGGCACAAAAAAATAAAGATATTTGTTACGAGATTCTTTTGCAAAATATGTGCAGTATTTTGCAAAATAATATTTTTTATATATAATATTACAAACAAAATATTCTAGTTTATACGATCATAGAACTAAGTAGAACTGAGTTTGCAAGTGTTCGTTGAGAAATGCACATATTATTACGTACTTAAAAACATCTTCAAACTTGCTAGGGACGCGAAATTAAAATTACATTTTATGTCATATTAATGCTGAACATTGCACATATATCTGCGTAGGATATGTTCGTCTCATTTTTCGCCGGCGATTATTTAGTTGAACGAAAAGATTTATTTAATAGAGTCCGTATATTACAAATCACTTATAATAAATTATCGAGAGCAGTTGATCATTAGCCTGGGATTCTCCGGTATTCTCGTTAATGGATAAATCGTAGTCATCTTATAATGCGCGCATATCGTATTGCACAACATTACGCCTTGTTTGGATATGCTCCTAGCTCGTATCTTATATTGAAACTTTATATCTCGCTGTACGGAAGGATCGCTGTAAGCTCCGTGTTTTCTTATCGAGCAATAAATTCAAATTAACGTAACTATTGATTAATATCATCGTTACGATCTGCAGTAACTATTTATTGCGGACTACGCGATACTGCTACCACGTGCGCGTGCATATTAATTCTGGAATTCCATATAACCGTGCCATGACTCGCTTCATCGCAAAGAAACACGTGCTCGTTGATATTACTATCGTGAAACTTTTATGTCCGTGTTTCGATCGAGATTGTTTTATGCGATCGGATAATGAAATCGGAACTGCTCTATTCCCGTAGCGTTCTGTATAAGCTGAGTTTTACTTTTATTCTATAAAGAATGTATGTGTGTTTGTGCTTACGTTTATTTTAATAAATATATGACATTGTTTTTGATGATATTTTTAAATTATTATATATTATGATGTATAGGATACCTATACATGAAAGAAGGGGTTTTGCTATTAAAAAAAAGTTTTATTATTAATATAATATTATTAATATAATATCTTTTAACAAAATATTGAAATTGTCAATATGATTAAGAAATGATGAACAATTACATTAATGAAGTTCATTTTTATGTTACATGAGATTTCAACTAAGAATGACTTTGTCTTTTTGTTGAATAATAAAAAAGAAACAGAATGATCTTTATATTGATACTTGCCTCTTGCTGGAAAACTATGTGAGAAAATTTTATATGGAAATCTTGTTTTCAAAACGTAAGAATATTACACACAAGCATTATTTACATAACAAATTACTACTTTGTATTGAATAATTTATATTAATTTATATTAGTTTTTAAACGATCAACTTAAGTAGGATTCACAGATAAGTTTAACGTAGGATATCTCGAAGGACACACTACTCTTTATAGTTGCCACTTCTCCGTTCGATAGTTGGCGAATCACTTAATCGTAAACAATCTTGTTTGTGCATAGCCAGCTTCTGCACGAAGTTTCCTTTAAACTCGAAAGGAGGTCAAGCGTGTTACAGGACGAAACTGTACGGCACGAGGCAAGGGTGCGAGACTCTGATATCGAGGGTTGAGGGATCGACTTTTTTTTTATGACAGTACTCGCTTTAGGCTCCCTTTGACTTCCCCAGTAATCGGTGCCTGTACTCTTCATTTAACGCTCTTACATCTTTCATGGCGGGGCGCCTTCGGTGTCACGGTCCGCGGAATCCTCTCATTTGTAGCTGTATTCATCGCGGCGTTCTTCCCTGCTGTTCGCATCTCGAGGGTCAGACTCGCTAATGAGAGGGCTGGGGAAACCTTGCATAGCCGGAGAGTGCGATGGCGGGGATGACAAGGTGGAAAATGGAATCTGCCTCTCTCGGAGGACGCTTTTTCACTATGAGCGCGAGTATGACGCACGACTCGCAAAACTGGGCCACTCTATGTCCCTTACGACAACGATTCCGATGTATTAGTTTGCTCGGAGTATAATGCAATATTAGTCTCGAGTGCTATTCGTTGAATGTTTGCCGACGTACAAATATGATAAATGACCCCTTGATTATCAATAAATCTTACAGGTATCTATACACTGTAACGTAATTACGCATCGCCATTTGATTTCTCGTTATTAAAGAGACATTACTATATTTACCGCGAGCCCGTGTATGTACGAGCAATCGAAACTATTTCTGCTTGAGCAACGGTGCCTCGTTGCAGGGTTGACTAATTCCTTCCTTAGCCCGCGAGACGAGTCGTCACGTTGAATCTAATGTTCGCAATTACTCTGATATATATCTTCGTATAATTGTACCATTGCACGCCCATTCACGCGGATAATTCGACTATCGTGAGAATTCGACTTTCGCGTCGCGTCCGATTTGTCGGAGTCAGATCGAGAATGTAAGGCGATTTGATTTCTCCTCAGACTCTCTAATGTTGACGCGTCTTTGCTGACAGATCTTAAATGTACTTCGAGTGTGCGTTATAATACCTTCTCAAAGATCGAAAATGGAGTTACGAAATTGATATTGGTGTTTCTTAAGATCGATTAAATACGACGCTACAGATTTTCAATTTCTATCTCAATATACTTTAATTATTAAACAAAATTGCGCTCTCTTATTATTCTATTATTCTATTTTCCTTTCTTGCGCTGGTCGATCTTTCGCGTAACGTTGTGACGTCCGATGTTCAATGTTTTTATCCAGCAACAATACCGTGCGAAGTCAATATGTTCATAAGATATCCTTCATCTATAAATAATGTCTCGCGAACGTACGGAAAGTCTTATCGACGCTGAGATGGCCGGAGTCCACTTCTTGATCATTTTATTGAGATGTTACGCCGTGCGTGAATCAACTTGTCGAACTGCAGTAACGCCTCTCTGACGCGATCATCCGCGTCGGATTCGAGGAGTCCGTTCCTTTAATCGATATTGTTAGGTAACGGGCACGGGCGTGTTCGTATTCATCATGCGTATTTATCATTACACCGTTCACTCACACCGATTGCGCATTCAGGAATCTTACACGCTTCGTAATCGTCTGTAATTATGCAAATACCGGCCACGTACACATTACATGCGCAACTATATAGTTACTGCGTATGATACGATAACCGCGCAAGTAGACTCGAACTGATTCGCGAGCGCGTAATGACCGACTTGATCGGCGATTGCCTGTAATCGGGCCGATTGACGATCTCTTTTTTTCCCCGAATTATCGCGATTATCACGTTTAATATGCGAGAGAATTGATAAGCGCATCATTTCATTCGAGAATGAAAATCGCACGGTTCGAAAAGAGAATGAGATCTCGTAATATATCACCGGGAATAATCGCGGTGCCGCGTACGCGCGCGCGCGTGTATGTTTTCAAAATTCTCGATCCACGAGTACCGCTGGTATGTACGTACGCGGATATGTGTGTCTATATGTGTCACATATGCTGCACTGCACTGCAGCGAATGGAAATCGAATCGATGACCCTTCTTCCTACCCCCTTCCAAAAACGTTAAAGCTAGCATATTATATATTACGTTGGACATTTCCGAGCCTGTATATACAGGTACCGAACTGAAAGAACTGAAATGCTTTTAGATATCGAGTAAAATATTTAACAGAGGTCATTTAAAATATTACATATATAAATATTGTATATATTAAATAGAAGACGAGAGATTTAAAAAATATATATTTTATATATTCAGACTACGAAATATCGCACACATAAAAAATCTCATTGTTATGCAAAAGTTCGTGCAGTAAACATTAAAATAAGAAATAATATCAACTTAAATGGTTACGCGTTGTAACAAATGAGCGATATAAAACACATTTTAGCAATTCACAACGGCAATTTTAATCACAATCTGTATTAATTGAAATGAAAAATGCATTTATCTACATTAATTGGAGATACATATTTATTCTATGCTGGATTATATAATTTGACCGTAAGACGTATAAAACTGGATTGGGTGAACGACGAGGAAAT